CATCCATCCATCCATCCATCCATCCATCCATCCATCCATCCATCCATCCATCCATCCAATTTGTCACCACCCATCTTGTTAAACGACTCTGGGTAGTTTACTAAACAATTAAAATCAATTAAAATTACAAAATTACAATAATAAATACAAAATAAAAAGATCCAATCCATCCATCCATCCATCCATCCATCCAATTTGTCACCACCCATCTTGTTAAACGACTCTGGGTAGTTTACTAAACAATTAAAATCAATTAAAATTACAAAATTACAATAATAAATACAAAATAAAAAGATCCAAAATAACTGGAGATCACTCAGTGTCACTGAGGCACTAGTCACCCCCAGGATTGGGTATAGTTGCTATCCCCCCACCCAGGCTGGCAGAGCCAGGTCTTCAATTTTTTCTGGAAGGCCGGTAGGGTGGTGGGGCCTGCTGCACCTCTGGGGGGAGGGTGTTCCAAAGGCTGGGAGCAACGGCAGAGAAGGCTCTCCTCCTGGGCCCTGCCAGTCGACATTCTCTCGCTGATGGGACCTGCAACACGCCCTCTCTGCCTGACCGGGTGGGACGGGTTGCTGTGACGGGGGTAAGACAGGTAACCTGGACTCATGCCATGTGGGGCTTTAAAGGTGACAACCAGCACTTTGAACTGGACCAGAAGCAGACGGGGACCCCATGCAGCTTGCGTAGTAAAGGTGTCGTATGCGCCGTTCTTGGGGCACTCAAAATTATCCATGCGGCCGCATTCTGGACCAGCTGTAGCTTCCAGATACTCTTCAAAGGCAGCCTATGTCGAGCGCATTGCAGTAGTCTGGCTGAGAGATGACCAGGACATTAACAGTGTTCTCAAACTAAAAGTCAAGAATGAAACTTACCTCTTTAATGTGTCGCCTGCGCTTGTGTTTGCGGCACAAATACTCAATTCAGGGCCAAACTTGAGATTTCATCTTCAGCCGAAATAAGGCAATTTCTGTCTCTGCCTTTGTTGCTTGTTAAGTAAGAAAAATCTTGCTCACACATGTAAGAAGTTGAAAACTGCAGCAAAATGTTCAGTGCCTTCCTGTGAGTGGCAGGATACTCCTCTTTCACAGAAATCCAGAACTTGTCCATGGGCAGACCAGCGAATCCCATCTTGAGCGTACGATCAGACTGCAGCTCACAAAGTTCTTCCTCTTCCTTCAGAGTGAAGGTCTCAGGCTGGGCAGAAGGTGCAGAGGAAGGATCCCTCACCCAGTCATACGTTTGTGTGGAAAGGGAGGGAAAGCACTGATCAACTTTTTTCTGCAGTACTTCCAGGTGGTTTTCAATTAGATTTGAGACTTTCTGGTATCCTTCCTCACTCTCAAGCCCAAGCAGCAGTGGAAACATTTCAGTATTTCCCTTTGCAACGTGAGTTTTCCAAACATTCAGTTTTCTTTTAAATCCAAGAATCTCGTCACCTGAAGGCAAAACATTTTCTCCAGTGCCTTGCAGACATTTGTTCAGCTGCTTCATGAAAGGAAAGATGTCCACTAAGTATGCTAGTTTCTGCAGCCATTCTCCATCTTCGAAGCACTCAGCAAAATGTGGAATACTATTTTCTCAAAAATACTCTTGTAATTCTGCCTTCAACTCAAACAAAACCTCTTCAGCATCATGTGACATGTCATCAATACGCCAACTTACTGTACTGTTTGATAGTGGGACCTTTTCCATTTCTTGTACTGCATCTGGTCCTAGCATTTTTCCCACTATTATTTTATATGTGGGCACAATTACTTTCTCACCCAAAACATGACTTTTCCTTTGCTGTGTAATACGTTCTGCTACTAAATAACTTGCTTCTTGGGGTTTTTTTATTGACTTTCATTTTATTAACAAAAGCTTTACTCTGTTCTGTGATTCCAGTAGCCATTTAAAATAATCAGAACATTTACTTGCTGTAGTTTAGTGACTTTTTAATTTTGCTGGAGCCATTGCTGCATTTGTAAGTTGTTTGCCTCAAATGAGCCACAACAGAATAGAACAGCTTGGATCACCAGTCCATGTAAAACCTATTGATAAATAGCTTTCATTGTAAAAACAGACTTTTTTTTTGTGAGTCCGTTGATGTACCAGTGCAGGGAAATGCCTGAGAAGATTTAAATTCTTCATTATCATTATCATCATTAAATTTATCGGTATTGTCTGTTCTAGAATCCTACTCTTCTCTCTCATACCTCCTCTTCAAAAATCGCCACATTGAACTCTCAGACATAACTGAATAAACATGCACAACATTTATTTAAAATAACGGGATAAAATAACTACAGGGAAACTGCAGGGAAAAAATGCGGGAGGGAGAGACTGATGTCAGACTAAGTTGGACAAGTCCATTAATTTCTTGAAAAATGCACTTCTCCCTCCCCTTCCTTCAATATATTCCTCCCTTCCTGCAATATAGCGTTCACTTGTTATCAACAGTCACCCCTATCTCGCGTCAAAAATTAAGAATGGATTCAACAAAATAAACACAGTCCTACAGCGCACTAGGGGGGAGCCAAGATGGCAATGAGGCAGCAACTGCTGTAAAGAGCTTCTCCAAAATATATTTTTTTATCATCTTTTTTCTTAATCTATTGTTTTAAATACCAGTTTATTTTATTTTACAATTACCCCTCCACCCATGCTTTTAGTGTGACAGCCTCGTGCTGCCCTGTCGGAACCCTCAACGTATAGAAAGGGTAGAGAAAACCTCAGGACGCTGCCAGTCGTCATGGGAAAAAGAAGGAAGAGACACCGGACACATCCTGCAATGCAAGCTACATCCAAGCCCACAAAGCAGATGAAAGTCGGCAGTTACCTAACAAGCAGGCAGCGACCTCCTGTAAATAATCCAACCCCCTCTAATTCCTCCGATGGACACAATGCTCTAGAGTGGGATCTACAAGCAGAGATCGAAAGCCGGCAGCTTATAGATCCCTTCTATGGAAGAGGATCCCCCCCCCCGAACCCACTGCTGCCATCTGCTCAGCAGCTGCACAGCTTTTGCAGGGTGAGGGTGGGAATACAAGCCTGATAAACTTAAAAGAATGAAAATATAACTGACTTTCTAACCAGACAAAACCTGCTAACAGCACAAACTGTTCTCTATCTTTGAGCTGTTACCTACAGTCAAAACCAAAGTGGACTCTTTAAAAGAGGTCTTCATAAAGCTTATTGCAAACCAATCAAAATGATAACGTTGCTAAAGTGCGGATCTCCTAGTATGCCATAAAAGCAGTCAGGAGGGAAGTCATGGGTAACCTTACCCCTACACCAAGGAAGAGGGAGAGTAACGATCAGAAACAGCTGACCATTCATGAGGAGAAGGGTGAGAAACAAGTCATGTAAC